TTGCTGACCTTCTTACAAAGGAATTTCAAAGGGAGATTAGAAAGAGAGACTGCTGAATTGCATCCTCCTGGATTGGACTGAGACCTAGTTTTCCTGTCTCATTACCAATGTGTGCTATTATCATTTGGCATCTGAAATCACTCCACTCTGCAAGATATAAGGACCAATCCAAGTGTTCTTATTCCTAATCAGGGTATTTTTGAAAGAAAATAAATCCGGATTGGACAGAGAAATCAAATCTTTTTTTTTTTAAACCAAACTTTTCAGAATAAGCCAACATAATTTCCTCAGTGAACATTGTGCTTGTCAGAAGAATCCATCCATCCACCCACTCTTCAAAGACGTGTGCTTGCACACAAAAGCTTATACCTGGAATAAAACGTTGTTGGTTTTAAAGCTGGGACTCCAATTTTGTTTTCTCTTTGTCTCTTTCCTCCTCCTCCCTTCCCCTCCCTCCAAAAAAGGCGACCGGAATTACCAAAAGAGCTGAACAGTGGCACATTCCTTCCTGCCTGCCCTTCTCATGATCTGCCTAAATTCATACTGAGTCATAGAATCAACACTGCTGTTTGACGGCCATCCTCTAGCCTCTGCTTAAAAACCTCCAAAGAAGGAACTGGCAAGGTTTTGCTGGAGATATATTCTGTCATAATCAAGCATATTAAGTGTGTTCTGAACTGAGGGGGGCTCAAAAATTGTGAGAAAGGAGTCATAAGAAATGTTTGCCTTGGTGGCCTTCAATGGGCCAGGCTCCTCCAATCCACCACCAAGTTTTCCAGTTAGTGCCACACTGTTCTGAGACCACCTTGGTTTTTCTTTTTCTTTTTTGGGACAGTTGAGGGAGACACATACTTGTCTATGTGTCACTTGTAGCTTCAGCTTGAGTGCTTAGCTCATCCAGTGTGTATTTCTAGAAATGGACAATTAGGAGAGAACTGGGAGTAATCTTTTTGTTAGAAAATTAATGCCCTTTGAACCCAGTTAAAGCATGATTAACAGAATTAGTTGCACAGTGGCAGCTTTCACTGCATTTGTCTTAAGGAAACAGAATTTGGAGATATAAGGCCAAGGCATTGGTAAAAGAGAAAGCATGCTTTATAAAATAATATTTCACTCCCATGAGGAACAAATCTATCAATACACTATTTTCTACAAATGGCCCTAGGCCCCTGGAGCTGGCCACATGTGAGTGAGTCTGCTTGCAGACATTTTGGACCCCATCTGCATGGATCATAGAGAGAGAAAAGAAAGATAGGAAAGAAGAAGGTTAGAGGCAGGAAACTATTTGTTCGCCTGTAGGCAAGGAGAGGCATCAAGAGAACCTTTGGTTCTGTCACCAACACAAACATCTCACCCTTCCAGTGGGTCAAGCATGCAGAGCTGCATTTGCCCTACATTTTTCTCCTGAGACTAAACCAGTAATAAGACTAGAGCTTTTTCTATTTTGACATCTGATCAATTATTGGTTGTTAATGTTTTCGACTGGATAGCTTCCATTTGTTTGCTTCTTGTTTCCAGCATGCAAGGGTGCCCTGTATCCACTGAAATGCTGATGAAAAGGCCTTAAAAGCTCCCCTCACCCTTTTAACATCCAGCCTGATGAAGTGAACTCAAATACTTGCTCATTGTGTTCTTATTTTGACTGGTCTTAATAAAAGCCGTTATATGGCTTCTGTGAGGAAAAAAATGTGTGCCATTAGTACTACCTGTACTAAACACAGAGATTGCTCAGGCTTGTAGTTTTCTCTGACACAATTGGCAAATTATTTGCAACATATATTTATTTATTTATTTATTTACTTTATTTGTAAACAATCCCCCAATCATCAAGACTCAAGGCAGGTTACATGGTGCAAAACAATGTGATCAAATCACATGAGATATCTAAAAAGAAATGCAATATGGCTAGGATTATAGAAATTAGAAAGTACAAAAAAGTATCAGACACGGAATGAAACAATGCAGAAAATGGAACTGCAAAAGTAGAGAACAATCTGTGTAGTGAATCAAGCATGACCACCAAATGCATACATGGCATCAGAAAGACAGCCACAAATACAGAAAGAACTCACACTGATTTGGAAGCACTGGTCTTAGTTGCTGACAGGCCTTTGTTCCCCAACTCATGGGTGGCTGCCTACCTGTGTGTTCTTCCTTTCCATCCCAGTGACACAGAGGCAGGAAGCTCATTAGGGTTGGGGATGAAGAAAGCCTGACTCTTTCTAATGACTTAGAGGGCCTGGCAGGGCCACCACTAGAGTGCTGCGCTGTGGAAATGCAGTACAATGCTGAGGCAGCACCTCTGGCTGGCTCTTTCTATGTTGTCTAACTGGGAAACTTGAGAGCCATTAGAATTGAACTTGCTCAGGATAGCAACATCAGGCTTTTCCGCATGCTTGACTTACTCCTGATTTTCTTAGGAGTTGATCCACAAGCACTGGAAACAGTTTGGGCAGGGCTCTTCTACACGTTTACCTTCCTCCTGCATTTTCACGTCAGTTTATTTTCTTCTGCACGTGCCTTAAATAATGAGGATTTTCAAGGAAGGGTGCTGTCATCATCAGTGGTGTCACAGCACTTCCCCTTTAAAAAAACACTAAAATATCAATATATCTAGAGAGTGTTGTAACAACAAGCTTAGCAGATTCTCTGAATTCCCAGCTTCCATTAAAAAAAGTAAGTCTCTATCCTCCTCCCTTGTGGAGATATAACGGGAAAAGGCATATGTGCATGAGGGAAATGGTGAGACTTTTAAAAAATGAAAGTTATGAATTCAGAGAATCTACAAACCCTATTGTTACAATGCTCCAGCAACATATTGATACTTTTAAAAAGCCCACTTATTTTCAGGGTGGGGTAAGGAGAGGGAATGGTTTGACCACCACAATCCAATAATTGAAAAGTGGGCTAGAGGTGGGTGGGAATGGGCGAGACAAAGAAAACTGACAGAAACATTATGCTCCAGGAAAAAGGCGACTCAAAATCAACTTCCAGAAAAAGATCGGGGTAAAAGTGGTTTCAAAAGAACGGGGGGGGTGGTGGTGAGAGAGACAGAGGAAAAAAAGAAATCCAAAGTGAAAACTAAAGGCACAAAAATGTGTGCAGAAATCCTGGGATAAACCAAAGTAGTTTGTGACCTGAACTGACAAAAAGAAAAAATATCCATGTAAAAAAGCACATTGACTAGTGTAGCTTTAGTTGGTGGGGTACAAAGAGCAAGGGTAGAGAGGGAGCAAAGGCACCTAGCAAACTTCCCAAGGCAGAGTGGGGATTTAAACCTGGGTCTTTCGTTTTTAAAAAAATGCTCCATGCATGCTAGAAATCGAGTAAAACACTGCTGTTTATAGCACCAGCAAAAACCAACTGTAGGGCGTAGCTTCAGGTAGCTCTGTTGGTCTGAAGCAGTAGAACAAACAAAGTTTGACTCCAGTGGCACCTTTAAGACCAACAAAGTTTTATTCCAGGTTTTATTGCAAACGAACTTCAGGAATGGACTAGAAAGGGAAATTGTTGAGTTGTAAGTTACTACAACACTCAGAACAATGGACATAACAGGGATATTGGTTTCTTATCTCACTTCATACACTAACCTCATTCAGCCCTTATATCTGTATTCTCACCAATCCCCCAGAAGGGCCAAATGTCCTTATTTTATTACTTATTTGGAATAATAGATTAGAATAGTAGATTGTAATGTAATGTAATGAATAGTCGAATGTTGTGTAATTTGGAAGGGCAGACTAGAATGTATTTCTTTGGTCTGGGGATAGGGGACTCTACACAGCCACTCACCCCACTTCAAAGAAGAAGATGCTGTAAGGTTGCCTTCATGCTTGAGAAGAGATGGATAGAGCATAATGGCAGGGTCTCAGTTAATTACTCTCAGCATCTGCCCATCAATCTCCAATCTTGACATATTTATTTCCTTCACTATGTTCCCCCCCAATTAAACCCAAACAAATAGTAACCATATAAACTAACCCTGTTATTCCTGTTTGGTCCTTGCATCTGTTTGGTGTAGTGGTTAACTGCGCAGACTCTAATCTGGGAGAACCAGGTTTGATTCCCCACTCCTCCACTGGCAGCTGCTGGATGACCTTGGGCAAGCCATAGTTTTGAAAAAGAGCCGTTTCTGTCAGAGCTCTCTCAGCCCCACCTACCTCACAGGCTGGGTGTCTATTGTGGTGAGGGGAAGGGAAAGGAGTTTGTAAGCAGCTCTGATACTCTTAGTGAAGGGTGGGGTATAAATCCAATCTCCTCCTCCTTCCTCCTCCTCTTCGTCTTCATTATGCTGTATGTTAATTTGCTGTCCACCTATATGTGGGGACTAGCAACTTCTATTTCACTGTATCTGGAGAAGTGTGCGAGCACATGAATGCTAACACCTTGACTAGAACTTTGTTGGTCTTAAAGGTGCCACTGGACTCATACTTTATTCCGTAGGGCGTAGCTTCACTTTTGCCCCAAATAGCCTCAGGGAGTTTGTCACGTAAAACTGAAACAGGGAAGTGGACACAGCTCGAGACACATGGGAGACGCCAGTTTAGTAATTAATTGGACACTGAAGGGGCTCCTGCGATAGTACGGTTCAAACGCCATTAATTTCCTATGCGGAAAATACTTCCGTATGAAACTCTCATGCTAAACGGTGCTAACCATACAGATATGAATTGTGCGTTGTTTAGATGCTTTTTAAAGCCAAGGGATAGTCATAGGTTGCCCGAGCTAGTAGACGTCAACACATGCCATCCGCTCCTTTTCCTTGCCCCCAAACGCTGTAGACAGAAATGAAAGATGTGTACTCCACCCCCTCTCCCCGGTTTTGTTCCACGTGTGCTTAACCTGCGACCAGCAAAGAAGGTTTGTTGGAAGGCAATGAACCCGCAGAGCTCTATCAAATTGCACTTAACTCAGCCGCGGGAGTTTGCGGAAGGAGGGGGAGGGGGTGCAGCAGCCGGGGAGGGGCGGGGCCTGGCAGTGGGGCGGGTACAAGACTGCGGAGCGGGCCGGGCAGTCACTCCTCTGCTCCCGCTATGGGGGTGACGGTGGAGGAGCACACAATTTACAGATACCCCTTCGAGTATGTGGTGGCTAGCTATCTCCGAAAGGTAAATGAGCCAAAGGCTCTTCCTCACCCCTGGGCTCAAGAGAGAACGCCTTCGCCGCCCCCGCGACTTCCTCTGAGCTCCTCCTCCTGCTGCCATGCTGGCAAGGCTGGCCCTCTGCGCCTCTTTAAAAAGTGTACCCAGAAGGCCAGAACGAGGCGGGTTCACTTCCAGAGGCGGCCCTAGATGGCAGGCGGGCGCCAAGCCCTTGCTTTGTCTCGGCGTTGGTTGGAAATAATGCCGTCGCTCCCCGCCCCTTTCCCAGCGTCGCGTTTATTTAGAAGTTAAGTTGCTGAAAGGCTGTCGGGGGGTGGGTGGTTATAATAACCCATCTCCGTCTTCCTTTAGCTTTCTGTTCTTCTTGTCTTTGGTGTGCGGCTGTTTCCCCGCAATCCTCCATGGCTGCAATTACGGTCCTACTCAAGTCATTAGCGAAGCTTCTTCCGTTGCTTTCAGGGGATCGGTCTTGCTAAAGCGTGTTTAAAGACACTCTCCGCTTCTCTGTCGCACCCCCAACAGTTTTCTATGTGGCGTATTACATCCTCTTCTACCCCTTCTTGTTCCACTTTAGACTTTTGGATGGGGGCGGGGGGGCGTCTCCTTCGAGGCTTGTCTTTCTGGTGTAGGTGTGTGCGTGTGCAGTCGGCCCGTGAGTCTGCTTCTCGCAAGCGTTCTACTTTGTATGCATTTTCCCCCGCACGTTTTCCCCAAGCAATTTGTCGTGGGTGTTGCAAGCCTGTGGCCCATCTTTCTAATACCTTTTTTGTTTTCTTATACTTTCCTTGTTCCCAGAGCCTTTTCAGATCTTATATTTTCCGGGTGACTGTTGCTCTCTCGCTTCCCCCCCCCTCTTTTTGCCAGATTCCTGTGTCTTGTATACTTTCCAGAGGGCGTTTAGTACAGCCAGAAACAAATAAGAAACGGCTTGTAAAACTCCTGGGTACTTGGTTTGTAGCTAGTGCATGTTAAACTGGCACTTGCCCTTTACAGTATTAAAAAGATGTTTGCAAGTAGCCTTTCTTCCCTCATTGTGGTTGTATGCAGAAATGCAGAGCTTAAAGTGGGTATTGGGATAGACTCTGAAAGAGAGGCATTAAAAGTAGGCTGGGCTTAGAATATTTAAGACTGGGGCCTCTTGTTTTTCTATAAAAAAGACATACATTACATTACAATCCCTTTCCCCTATACAACCTTCCATAATGGATAGACACCCTTTATCAGCATAGGGCAATTATGGAGTTAATTCAGCCTAGTCCATTTCCAGCTCCATCTTCTGTATAGTCTCTGATCATAATAGTTCTAATTCGAATGTGTCTCTGCTTTTCTGACATGCTGTTAATTTCTCAAGGGTATAGATCTCCTTTTATTTTCAACCACCAGTCTTGTAACTTGGTGTTTTTTTGTTTCCAATGCCTGGCAAAAACCAACCTGGCCCTAGTAATCATGTGTAAGGCAACCATTAACAGGTCACTAGAGTGGAATTTATTTTCAAGAGGAACGTGAATAGCAGGAAGCACATCAGACACCGCAGTGCCCATGGATGCCTTACAAGGGACTGCTGATTTAAGATTTAAAGTTCAAAACTAGCATTTTAAATTTGGTTTGGAAGCCAGTTGGTAGGCCCTGCAGCTCATGTGAGATTGGTATTATGTGATGCTGATGATCTGTCTCAGGCAAGGAGCTGTGTTCAGTGTTTCCTTCCAGATGGTTTTCTTGAGTAGTCCTAGGGTGCGTTCAGACGCGCCATTTGATCTGGTGTCGTACCAGTTCAGAAACGAATTTTATATGTGTGATCACACAGTCAACATCTGCCTCCCGTCCCCAGCCGTGGCTTTCCAGCTCAAATCCCCTTTAAACCGGAGTATTTTGTTACCAGGTCCCCAAGTGGTGTTTTCCTGATTCTCCATTTTCCCCCTGTGTGATCGCTCCTCCGGTCTCAAGCCACTTCCGGTTTAAGCCCCCTCCCCGCTCGAAAGCTGCCCGAGGCTTCCGCTTTTTGCCCACAATTTTTTTAAAGCGTTGGTGGTGTGCACATAGGCGGAGCTCTGCCACCGCGTTATTAAAAACAATGTTTAAACGGTGCCTAGTTTTAGCGTTTAGATGAGTTCGGGATCTTACGGAGGCCATTTTCGGGGTAAACATTTAAAGGGAAGTGTTCCTTTAAAGTTTAAAGGGAAGTCTTACAGCGGTCGGGTTGAAGTGGAAATCGCTGTTCTGCACACGCGCAAAAACTTTAATTGAGAGAGAGCAAAACAACACTGATGCACGCTCCTGCGTGTGGACGGCAGGGAGTGATGTGGCTGCACAGCGATCCGGAGCAAGGAGGAGAGTGTGATCGCGATTCTCCAGGTTAAAAAAACCCACATCAGGGCAATTTAAACCGCTCCCAGCACGCCGTCTGACCGCACCCCTACATTAACAATCAAGCCTGGAACATTCAAGAACATATATGACAATTCCCAAACCACCATATAGTGTGATAACCAGCAAAAACGTATGACGAGTTCCATAAACAGTGTACTTGGCCTTGGCTCTTTATCAAACAGCGAGCTATGGCCCAAGAGAATTTCTCTGCACTGTAAACCTGATTTCAAACATGGGCAAATTCTTGAGTCTTGCCTGGATTCTTCTGCCTCTTAATTCACTTGCCATAGCTGTCTAATACTGGTTTAGAGAAGGCTGCAGCTGTTTCTGTGATTTAACATAAAACTAGAGCTGGATGTTGCCAGCATAGAGGTGACATGGCAATCCAAATCTCTGAATAACGTATCCCAGTGATATTTAATAGAAACTACAGATTTTATGTCTAGATATGTTCATCCCCCCCACTTTTTAACTGACAAGCAGCCTTGGAAAACTATGCCCCCAGTCACACGGGCCGGATATCGTGGGGGTGGGAGGCGTGGCAGTTTGCCCCGGAGCGAACTACCGCGCGGCAGCCGGATCAAACGTCCAGGTGACGTCCCATGGTTCGAGGGGAGGTGCCGATCATACGTCAATCCTGTGGCGCGGCAAAGAAACGGCACGGCGGGGGTTGTGGTTTTTTTAAAACTGTAGTGTTCACATGCGCTGTTGGGTGCTTGTGCGCATCCCGTGGAGACTTGAAAAAAAAACAAACCTTTTCGCGACGGGACATGGGTGGGCGCCGGATGCCACGAGCTACCACCGGAAACGTGATCAGACGCCCGCCCTTGCCCCACGGTTTCCAGAAACTAGTACCTCAGAGGTACTAGTTTTTTACAGCGTATCTTCAGCGGGAAGCCTCAGGTTAGCCGCGGGAGCTCTACGCTTCCCAGATGTTGCGGTTTGATCGCGCCCGAAAAATCCGCCTATCTTCTGTCTCTGTATCGTGGATAATGCTCCGTGTGACCACAGCCTATGATTGTCAATGAATGGGAAGGGTGAAATAATTGATTTACCCTCCCCCTGCATTAAGCACTGCTTCTTTCTTACCACTATTCCACCCTGGATTATAGTCTTCCAATGCTGTTCTTCGGTTAAAAATGCTGGGTGCGGGAAGTTACATGCATCTGCCTGTATGTGTCGTTTTGCGGCTAAGTTCTAGTGACTATGTGAAAATTCCCACTCTTTTTTTGTTTCTCTCTAAATACAGTTGTAGAACCTGCTTAATTATACATCTTCGTAATGCATTAACACTGACTTTATTGCCCTCTAGCTGTGACTTTTTAGAAATGAAATGGAAATTTAAAAAATAATTACTGCTTCTCTGCCTGCTTCCCACTTAGCACACTAAGGGCAGGTGACCTTGTTTAATACCTTCCCCACTTTGTTCAAAAGGACAACTTTTTCAAGCAACAGCCACTTCCCCCATTTTAAGGGCCTTTGTGTCTCATTTTGGCCCTTGCTTGCAGTATTATATTTATCTACAATGATTTTTCTTTCTCAGTAGTGTTTGTTTCAGGTGAATATAAAAGAATAAATCTTCTCATCTGTAAACTTGTTAATGGAAGCTTATTGACAGCCCTGCTCTTATCAACAGTTTTCATTTTTTAAGAATTTTTTTTGTTTATAATTCCTTTATTTCAATATATTGATTTCTCTTGTTGCTTTTCTGTCTCCCAGCCATATTTTATCCTGCTGTTCCTTCAAGGGGCTCAAAGAATACACTGTTCCTCTGCCCCCAGGATCTTAGCGGATCACTGTTACACCCTAGCCTTGCCAGTTGCCCACTTGCAGTTGGACAAACCTCACCCTGAAGAAGCTGAAGAGCAGGATTAAAAATGGCAAGAAATGGCCTTGATGGTGGTGCTGTAAAAATTTCCTCATGTCTCTGTAGTCTTTATCTCAAAATTCCCAGGCATTTACATAAGGACATAAGAAGAGCCATGCTGGATCAGACCAAAGGCCCATCTAGTCCCAAAATTCTGTTCACAAAGTGGCTGGCCAGCTGCCTCTAGGAAGCCCCTTTGCTCATGCAGTGTTAGCAACCCAGGTCCATCCAGGTACTCAGTAGCATTTTGTCCTGTGTATTTTTAACATTTTGAGTGCCTCTTTCTTGTAGTGTTCAACTCAGTTCCTGAATAACTTTTCACTTTAGTCAGCAGTCCGGCTTCATTAAAATCAATAACAGGTTTGCTGGTTCAACTCCAATAGAGAATTCTATACAGAGGGATCAGCCTTAGAACTACTGCCTTACTGCCACACATCTGGAGAGAAAAATCCTCTGCCCCTTGCTAATCCACCACCATCAACAGCTATGATTACTTTAGCTTTCGCTGAAGTTCATGAGGAATGGATGCTTTTACAAAATTGCTGGTACTACGGAAGGCAGATAGTGTGGACAGTGGTAGTGAAGGACAGCAGTGGCGGTGGCTTGTTCTGCACTTTTTACTCACCATGAATGGGGGGGGGAGGGTTGTTGTTGTTGAACTTCTAGTAAACAGACCCCAGTATCTTTTGTGCTCCAGTTGACCGTTCTGTTCAGTGAGACTTTTCTTCCTTCTTCAGAATTCCAAGCAGGCAGAAGTGGGTTATCTATCCAA